ACAATATATGGAACGATATGTTTTCAGATAGGTTTTGGATCCCGAGACTCTGTCTTCTACTCTATTTTAAATTAAATTTGGATCACTTTTTTTTAAGCATAAGGCCTACCCATGAAGAAGCTTTTTGTGATATTGTTTGCTCGTGCAATATTGTTTCATATTGCCTAGCAGCTTGACTTTCTTTATTTATGCTGATTTCTGGCGCGCAGGCCTTGGCGAGCTCTTTTCTTGGGCTTTATAAAACTTTGAGAACCGCTATTTTAGAAAATGATAGATCACATATGCATGTATCTACGCAAGTCGCTAGATTCTATAAAAGAATATTTTCGCACATATCCGCCTGGCTTCCCACTGTAACAGACATCAACGCTTGCTGATTCAGCGTTACTTCACCTGTGTATTGACCTTGTGTTGTTCTACTTGTAAGTTGGATAAAACCCACTGATGACAACTAACAAAGTGCTCCGTTCTTTATTTTCTTATCAAATATTTATTATGCAAATGAAGACTGCTATTCAAGTATGTTGTGTGCAAAGTCATCGACTTTCCGCGAAAGAAGAATAAAAGCATGTGCCCAGCCAACTTTTTTCTCTTTTTTCGCGATTAACTCCTGCGACACAAACGGCATACTGTATCATTGTTAAAAAACAAAACAAGGGTTCATAATGTTTTATCGAGCCTGTTTGAATACATAATATATTCATTGTAGACTTCTTAACTAATTGGTGATCAAACAACACAAAAATAAAACTTTTGAAAAGTTTATTTCTCAAACCGATGCGAATCTTTGCGAAGAGCTCGTAATGGTACAAGACTCTCAAGGAAAAGTCTCCAACTAATCCATGCCGTTTTTGTTGATATTTTGCCTATATGTAGGGTTTGATGAGATTAGAAAAAACTTTAAAAAAAACAGCCCATAGACTTTCCTTCTCAGGTTATGATCATTTTACTTGGTTTACCACATAGGACAAGGGATTCAGCAAAAAATCAAATTGAGAAATTTCGATCTGAGATTTTGTCCACATGCAAGTCTTATAGCCTATATATTAGCCTAAAAGTTCCAGTCAAAACAAACGTCTCTTTCTCGAAATATTGCGTTATCAAGAAAACATTACCATGCTACATACATCTCAGCAAAATCGACTTCTATGGAAAAATCAATATTTTACGAAAGAAGCATTTATTTTGACTGCAACCTTAAGCCTAATATATAGGTCCTAAGACCTGCATGTGCATGAAAGCTGATTTTTCACTGAATCCCTTGTCATAGGTAATAAACCAAGTAAAATGAGGGTGTGGATGTGACTAGGGTGTGGTTGTCGGTGGATGTGGGCGTGCTTGCCGAAGAGAAGACTCACACCCACACCCATATCCTCATCGCATAGTATACATATAGGCTGTTTATAACTAGCGAACTATTGTTTTTTACTATACGATGACATCATTATACATTCTTTTCTTTTTATCTTCGATCTAAACGAGATAGATCGAAAATAACTTGCAAATGTGAGTTCTGTCATTTTCGATAGTCTTTCTTGGCTGATATTGTCAATTACAAAACATTTTCGCTGCTGTTAAAATAAAAAAATCTTTATATTTCAATATTAAGTCGTTCATTTACTTATATATATTATATTTCATATTTGACGTCGTAGAATAATCTAGAAAAAAAAACATCCAATATCGAATATATAAATAGAAAACAGTGGTCTCTATCCAAACAACAATTGATCCTTCACAATATTCAATCGTCGAGCAAACGTCAAAAACAACATCGAAAATGAGTAGACAACGACGACCACGAATGGCTGAAAATTATCTGATCATCTGGGCCGATGGTACTATTGACATGGCAAATGAAGATTGCCAGAATACGCTCGCGCAATTGCGCGGTGTTGTTAATGAAGTTAATCCATGCACCACGGCCGAACAATGTATCCAGACACTCCAGGAAAACAATGAGGAGACATCATTTGTCATCTCCTCGGGTGCATTAGGACAACACCTAATACCAGAAATTCATGGCATGCCAAAACTGGATGCCATATACATATTTTGTGGCAACAAGCAACGTCACCAAGAATGGGCTAAAAATTGGCCCAAAATTAAAGGTGTCCATACATCAATTAAGCACATCTGTGAAAAACTGGCACTGGCTGTCAAACAATGCAATCAAGATCAAGTAACAATCAGTATTATCGGTGTCAATGAAGGAGGTTCTAGCGAAAATCTCAATCAGTTAGAACCATCTTTCATGTATACTCAAATATTCAAGGAAATACTCCTTGACATGGAACATGGCCAAAAAGCCATTAAGGACTTCGTTACATATTGCCAAGAACAATACAAAGGCAATACCAAAGGACTCGAGTTAATCAATGAATTTCAAAGTACTTATCATCCAACGCTGGCATTATGGTGGTATACACGCCAATGCTTCACGTTCAACATGCTCAATCGGGCCTTACGAACATTGGATGGCAACATTATCATCCGAATGGGATTTTTCCTGTGTGATGTTCATCGACAAATTGAAGAATTACACAGCCAACAGATCAGTCAATATCATGGAAAGTCCTTTATAATTTATAGGGGCCAAGGATTATCGACAGATCACTTCAATAAACTCGCAAAAAACAAAGGTGGTCTCATATCTTTCAATAATTTTTTATCCGCCAGTACAGATCGTAATGTCTCCTTCGCTTTTGCCGAAAGCACCTTAGGAGCAACCGATATGGTCGGCATCCTCTTTCAAATGACAATAGATCCTACTGTCTCATCGACTCCTTTCGCCTCCATCCAGGAGGTGAGTTATTACAAGGACGAAGAGGAAATTCTCTTCTCCATGCACACCGTCTTTCGAATTGGTGAAGTTCGAAAACTGGACAAGAAAAGTCCACTTTATGAAGTGGACCTTAAACTTACGTCGGATGATGACCAACAACTGCGTCAATTAACCGACCGTATACAACAAGAAACATCGGGCAGCACCGGGTGGCATAGAATGGGTCAATTGCTGCTCAAAATTGGTCAATTTGACAAGGCCGAAGAATTATACACAGCACTACTAGAACAAGTATCCAACGACAGTGATAAAGCATATATCTATCACCAGCTTGGATGGTTGAAAAACGATCAAGGACAATACAAAGACGCAGCTTCATTTTACGAAAGGTCCCTCGAAATCAATCTAAGAACTCTTCCGCAAGATCATCCGACATTGGCTTCTATCTACAACAACATCGGTGGAGTGTATAAGGACAGGGGTGACTACTCGAAAGCACTTGAATTTTACGAAAAAGCACATCAAATCTACGAAAAAGCTCTGCCTCCTAATCATCCCCATTTGGCTGCTTCCTACGGCAACATCGGTCAAGTGTATAACAGCATGGGTGACTACTCGAAAGCACTTGAATTTTACGAAAAATCACATCAAATCTTCGAAAAAACTCTGCCTTCGAATCATCCCCATTTGGCTACTTCCTACACTTGCATCGGTCTAGTGTATAAAAACATGGGTGACTACTCGAAAGCACTTGAATTTTACGAAAAAGCACATAAAATAAAAGAAAAAGCTCTGCCTTCAAATCATCCCGAGGTGGCTACCTCCTACTACAACATCGGTCAAGTGTATACGGACATGGGTGACTACTCGAAAGCACTTGAATTTTACGAAAAAGCACATCAAATCTTCGAAAAAGCTCTGCCTTCGAATCATCCCGATTTGGCTGCTTCAAAGCATGCTATTGGCCTTACATATGAAAACATGGGGGAATACTCGAAAGCACTTGAATTTTACGAAAAATCACATCAAATCTACGAAAAAGCTCTGCCTTCGAATCATCCCGATTTGGCTAGTTCCTACAATAACATCGGTGGAGTGTATGATAACATGGGTGACTACTCGAAAGCACTTGAATTTTACGAAAAAGCACTTAAAATAAAAGAAAAAGCTCTGCCTTCGAATCATCCCGATTTGGCTAGTTCCTACAACAACATCGGTACAGTGTATAACAACATGGGTGACTACTCGAAAGTACCTGAATTTTACGAAAAAGCACTTAAAATAAGAGAAAAAGCTCTACCTTCGAATCATCCCGATTTGGCTACTTCCTACATTTGCATCGGTCTAGTGTATAACGACATGGGTGACTACTCGAAAGCACTTGAATTTTATGAAAAAGCACATAAAATCTACGAAAAAGCTCTGCCTTCGAATCATCCCAATTTGGCTACTTCCTACAACAACATCGGTGGAGTGTATAACAAAATGGGTGACTACTCGAAAGCACTTGAATTTTACGAAAAATCACTTAAAATCTACGAAAAAGCTCTGCCTTCGAATCATCCCGATTTGGCTAGTTCCTACAACAACATCGGTGGAGTGTATAACACCATGGGTGACTATTCGAAAGCACTTGAATTTTACGAAAAATCACTTAAAATAAGAGAAAAAGCTCTGCCTTCGAATCATCCCAATTTGGCTACTTCCTACAACAACATCGGTGGAGTGTATAACAAAATGGGTGACTACTCGAAAGCACTTGAATTTTACGAAAAAGCACATAAAATAAAAGAAAAAGCTCTGCCTTCGAATCATCCCGATTTGGCTATTTCATATGGCAACATCGGTCAAGTGTATAATGATATGGGCAATTACTCCAAGGCACTTTCGTTTCTCGAAAAGGCGCTAACTATTCAACAGAAAACACTTCCGCCATCACATTCTCATTTGGCTATATCGTACTGGCACTTGGGCTCGATAAATGAGAAGATGCATAAATATTCGGAGGCACTTTCATTTTTAGAAAAGGCACTTTCTACCTTTAAAAAATCACTTCCACCCAGCCATCCTCATACTCAATCGGTGAGAAACGCGATTGACAATGTAAGAAAGAAAATCTAATTGTTGTTTTATTTTCTTAATAAATTTATTCACATTGCTAATCATTTCGATTTTTCTCGGTTCATTTTGGCTTATTCGCGCGCGCGCGACAAGGGAGAGATCCCTTGTCAATGCCATAGGTACCACAGGCGGACCACGTCGGACTGGTAGGGCAATGGCCGAAGGTATACCGTATTAACGATAGGGACCAACGACACATAGAGGCCTTCCCTAGCACTACACTGCTTCGCTATGGCAAAGTTTCTCTACCTATTGAATCAGACAACGTAGTTCTCTGACCCACACTAATAACACTCATAACTCAACTCATCTCATCTCAAAAGTACTCATACTCATACTCATAATAACTGATAGTATTTATTTTTTCTCAAAATAACTTACTTCAACTCAACTCAATTGAATATGTAAAAAAAATTTGTTTTCTTACTTCTCAATATTGTATAGTATCGAAACTCATCTAAAAAAAAAGAAAAAAAAAAGTTTTATTAAATATATAATGAATTTATTATTTACCTCATATAGAATTTAATAATATCCTTATCATTGTAAATAATATCATAATAATAATAATAAACCCGGGTATATAAATACATTGTAATGCATTATAATAATACAACTCGAGTGTATGATTTCATAATGATGTATGCATGTTTTTATATACTCTGAGATTAATTGACCGATGTTCAAAATTTTGATTGATTTTTTTATCAATCATTCCACTTCTGTTTTAATTGATTTGATGATTTTTTT